AAAAAATTTACAATAGCTTTATATGACTATAGCCAGCTTCTAAATGAAAAAACATTTTAAATCTAAATAAATAAGGTACTATTACCTAGTGGTATTCTTGATGCGTAGAAATCGTTGCGATTTTTTCAGATCATTACACTGACATTTTTTGAGTATCTCATATCTTTTTACCACCATTAAAATAGATATAAATCTAATCTAGTATTCCTAGAACATTTCGAAGTTCTTTAATTGATTGGCCTAATTGAACAATGATTAAATTTAATCGATGACAATAACACCAAATAAAGGCTGCCTTTGGCGCCTCTGCTCTAATCAAGGCTTGCACACTATTGATTCTTCCACTCATATTTGAGGCGCCATCATAACTTTGCCCAACTAGAAATTCAAGGGGTAAATTCATCGAGCCGAGTTTGGATATTATAGCACAAAGTGTTTTCCAACAAAATATTATATTAATATAATTTAAAAATAATGGAAATGAGTAATATGATAATTTCAAAAAATATCTATGTCGTATGGGGTTTCGGAATCGGTGGGGATTCGGCATTTCTCAATTTTAAATCATTTAATATGGACGATTTTTTGGATTCTAAAATTTTGATTTTACAGGAATTGAATTCCAGCATGTGTACAGTATTTACCCTATAAATTTCAGCCCATTTCAGCGATAGAATTTTAGTATTTTTTTAATTTAAAAAATCCATATAAATTAGAAGTAGTTCTAAAGTTCATGGCAAAATTGTTTGAAATTTACAGTATGGGTATTCTACCCATGCTAGAAAGCATTTCCGATTAAAATCGAACTTAAAATTTTTTTAAATCGCTCTCGATAAAGGATTTAAAATCAAAAGATTCCGAATCCCCACGGATTCCGAATCCCAATACGACATATACTAGAATAATTTCAAAAGGGAGTTGAGAATTAGATAATTGTCTAGTTTTAAATTATATCAGAACATTTTTACTTATGTTTAATTTAAAAATATATAAAATGAGTAATAAGACAATTGTCACCTTTATAGGTAGTAAGCTCATTAGTACAAAAAAATAGAAAAAGCTTAATAATAACAATTTCTATGGTACATCTTCACTGAAATTAAAAATGTTCAAAATATATAATTTTACCTATAAGCTTTAAAAAAATTAAAAATAACGGTTATGACAATTGTCACTATTCTAAGATACATATTTGATGAAATTTTAATTTAACATGTTCATAAAAAATATTTTTACCTATTTACTTTTAAAAAATTTAAAAATATTCATAATTAACGATTATGACAATTGTCACTGTTCTATGGTACATCTTCACTGAAATTTTAATTTAACATGTTTACAAAACATATTTTTACTTATTTGCTTTAAAAATTTAAAAATGTTGATATATCGATTATGACAATTGTCACTGTTCTATAGTACATCTTCACTGAAATTTTAATTTAACATGTTTACAAAACATATTTTTATTTATTTGCTTTAAAAAAATTTAAAAATGTTGATAATTAAAGATTATGACAATTGTCACTTTTCTATGGTACATCTTCTGAAATTTTAATTTAACATATTTACAAAACATATTTTTACTTATTTACTTAAAAAAAACTCAAAAAAGTTCAAAAATTACGATTATGACAATTGTCACCTTTATATCCTTTACAATCACTGAAACCATCTTGAAACATGCTCAACTAGCTTATTTTAATTAAAATTATTTTTAAAGGTTCTGATATGAGTATGTCACTTTTATACTCTACATTAAATGTAAAATATTAATTATGATTATGACAAAAAAAACACCAAATATTAAAAAATATGTAATCGTTAAATTCTCACATTTACACAACTTATGAAATAATATTTTTCTAAGATCAAAAAATAAATATCAAAAATTTTATTTTTAAAAAATCACAAAATATTTGTACAAAAAATTTTAGGATCAAAAATGTTATAATAAAGATTTTCTTGCTAAAGATTTTAGTATATTATAAAATTACAAAAAAATTTTCTCAAAATCATAGAAGATTTTTTTACAAAAATTTTTTTTTATTTTGCTCAAAAATCTATTTTTTTAGCGAAAAAATCTTCGCATTTTTTTATCTTCAAAAGAGCTACGATCTGTGAAGATTTTTGAATTTTGAGCAAATGTTAAACCCTGACTATAAGTAATCCAATTTCTAGCAATTTTGCTATTGTCAATATTAGTTTTTTCATAAAAGCTTTCATCAAAGGATCTGTTTCTATTATTATTATCTCTGGGGAATAAATAATGTGTATGTTGAAGAGCTTCTAATTCTAGATATTTATTAATTATAAATTTGTCAATTATTTTTTCAACAATATTGATGGAATCATTTGATTCCTAAGAAAAGGGAGGGAGGGAAGATAAGATATTTAAATTAAAATATGAATACTACTATCTATTCATATTATGCTTAAAAAAATAAGTAGAAAAATTTCCGTCAATATAAATTAAATTAAATATTAAGTTGGGGGGGGGGTGGGGTCTTATTTTACATTTATAAACCAGAAATCACTTGATCATGATGGATGTAACAAAACAGTAAAAGAATTTTTAATAAAGAAAATTTAAAAAAAAAATGTACCCCCACTCAAATTTACTGAAGCAGTTGCTACGGACCCCCCCCCCCCGTTGTAGGGGCCACTGGCATTTAGGATCATTAGTCTTTTGGATATGTCAATTAGTGCATGGTAAATATTTTACTTATCAACACTCTAAATCAAAATATTTTTATTAACTATTCTATATGTAATTCTTTCAACTCTTTCTTATATTACTTATAATATTTTTTTGTTATACAATTTATATATTTTCGAGACCTTTATTTTTTCTTAAAATTTTTCAACTTATTTTTATTTCTAAAATCACAAAAAATTAATTATTTTTATAAAAGAAGTAAGAAAAAAAATATAATATTGTTTTTTTTTATTAAAATCAATATAAGGTCAAATAAATAAAAAATAATTTAAACTAAGAATAGGACACTAAATAACACCAACCTAATTTCTAATGCCTTTATGCTTTCCACTTTACATTCCCATAGCGTTTCAGGTAGCGGGTTTAACGTAAAATTATTCATATGATCCTTCAAAATATGTCATTGCTGGGTCGAAACAAAAAAGAGAATATATATTTGTTGGACAATGCTAAAAAAAATGATTTTGCCACTAATGATGATCGTGCCATGTCACTAAGCAGCAGATTTAAGCTGTGGTCATCACAAGGTATAAAAAATACTCAGATTTATTTGTAATATTCGAGTCTGAATCCCTTTAAAGCATCTGATCCATTATCGTAACCTTGTTCACGAAAATTTATTTTATCTCTAATCCCAATTTTTTAGATACTGATAAAAATACTTCTACCAAGGTCTAGACAGTACTGGAATCTTTTTAGATAGCCAACAAATCGCTCATTTATTTCAATGGAGTTGTTAGGTTCTTTGTATATAACTATAATTAATTGTTCTTGGCTGGTTATATCTGGTGTACAGTCTAATATTACCGACGAATATATTGCATTTTTAATAGCATCACCAATTTTTTCTAAGATTTTATCTCCTATCAAGTTAATAATCTCATTTTGAATTCAATTTCCAAAGTAATGATTATGAATTTCACTATTCATAATTCGGCGAATGTGGTCAAATAATTTTATATTAAATTTCGATAAAAAAAACTAAATTTCTTAATTAAAAAATAAATGAAGTTTTTTTTACTAAAATATAAATCAAATATTTTATTATAATGCATCAGCTAGACATGCAAACATTTTTTCGAAATTCATACAGGGATATTTTTCAAGAGCTAAAAATAATTGAGTAAAATTACAAAATTTGGCGGCCCTTAGAATTGTCTAATTTCAACGACCTGGAACGATTGCCCCTTCTGCACGGCCCTGAGTATACCATAAGTAATATAATAATGACCAACGTCTCGGACCAAGCATCAACACGACCTCAAATTTTATAAATTACATCTACTAATTCATGTTTTATAATTCTAAAAAATTGTCCAATTAAAAAATAGGATTAATTCAGATTTTAAAAGCTTAATTTATAGAAATTTAAATACTATGCTCCTTTTTTGATGAAAATTTTTTCTTTTTTGATTGGACTCATTTCTTTTTAGTTTGACACTTTTCTTTTTTTGATAATGGTTCAAGAAACCGGATTCATATTCCGATAACCCGAAAGTAGTGATCTTCATCGGACCTAAATTAAATTATTTTTTCAATATAGATTTACACTGAACATGATCAAGTTTTTTATTATTTTACCAACAAATAAAAAATTATTGGTGCCATGTTTCTTGAAAAAAATTTTAAAATATATATATTTTATTTTATAATTTAGGCCATTTTTAAAAAAATTAAGCTCTTTGGACCCGGCCTGATTTTGCAGATCTCTAGTTTATAAAAATAGGCCATGAATTTTATATCTTTAGACAAGCTTGAAAGAAAAATTCGACAAGTATGGCCCTTAAAAGCTCAAGAAAATTTTTTTAAATTTGGTTTTCGATCAATGGAAGAAAAGATTATTAGCTGTTCTGTCATACAAGAAAAAGGGGGACCTATCCATCATATTTTTTGTTTATTTAACTATATTTATGTATTTTTATAATTTTATTTAAATAAAGATTTCAAAGTATTTTTGTGTTTTGTGTTATATTTTATGATTAGGGAATGTTTTGAAAAGGCGAAAGTCAGGCTATAATTCAAAACAATGACAACGCATTCAGCCTGCTTATGAAAAAATTCCTTACACCTTTTAAGGAAATATAAAATTAGGACGCATTTTAGAGTTATAAAGATTTCAAAAAGTGACGTATTTTTGAGCCACCCCATATAATTATAATTTGAAATAATTTTAACAAAAATAATAAATTTCAAAAATTTTTATATCCTATAACCAATGTTGATTATGATTACACAAACATTTTTATTTAGAAATTAAAGCTGTTTTATATTTATATAATAGGGGCAGGAATACCTAATGGTAGACAAAGGAGAGGAACACGATGTATTTGAGGCAGCCAAGATATTGCTGCATATGTCAAAGGGCAAAGTTCAACCCAAATTCTCACCATTAAGACTTGCTAATAAGGATATAGGATCTTTAACACCCCCAGCAAATAATCTCGACAAATTTTTATTCAAATCGCCACATCTCCAGCCGCTAATAAATAATGATAATAATATAAATATGTCAATGACCAAAATTAAAAATTTTAATCAAAATTGCCGGTTTTCAATCAACGATGGAGTCAATCAAGATCCGTATTCTGTGTGCCCCTTATCTCCAGAAAGCCTTATTGATATTAACGTCACAAATAACAATAAAAAGATATCTAATAAAGTTACCACAAAAAAATATATTTGCCCCTATTCAAATTGTATACGCTCTTATGACAAATTAATTCATTTGACATCACATTATAGAACTCATACAGGTGAAACATTTAATTTATTAATAAATCATCGCTGTCATTTGCATATAGGATATGGTTGTAGTAGCAAATGAAATTATTGATAAAACTTCCTTTACCTTCTCACTCTTAGCTTTTAGCTACCAGGGTTATAAAGAATATTTGTGGGCTGAGGTTATTGATTAGCCATCGTATATTTAAGAGTGAAAGAAAGGTAAAGTTTTCTACATTAGAGGGATTAATTGTCAGGTTTCGCTTTTTGATGATTTGTTTTAATTAAAGAGTTTTAGTTTCATTAAGCCTTCTGATAGATTGATTTTTATAAAGCAATTAATTATATTTTTTACTGGTAATAAAATACTTATTTACGAAAACACTAAAATTATAAAATCTAATAAAGCAGAGGAGAAACGCCAATATTTTTTTTCACATAATTTTAATAATGTTTAAGTTTGAAAATTATAAAGGCACCATGCCAATACCAGAGCGTTTGAGAATTGGAGCGCATAAGGTAAAAAGATAGCAAACCAAAAACCGTTAAAATTTAGATATTAAAATTTTTATCGTCTGCTTATTAATTGCATTAATTCCTAATAATTACATAATTTAAAGTAGTAGGTATATATATATATATAATATATTTAAATAATTTCTAACTGTTTTATTTACTCTTTATAATGGCTAAACCCCCAAACGTTGGAGAACGCTCTGGTTCTAGTATGACCCAACCATAAGAGAATGAGCTGCATAAATGTCACATCGGGCTATCTTTAATTATTCATTAACTTTATTATAGAGAATAAGAGTGAATATGGACTTTAACAAATTAAGGTCCATATTTTATTTCCCTGGACCTTCAGCGACCTTCATGGGCCTTAATTTTTTAACCAAGCCTTGCTCGTAAAAATAGACTAAGGCCCCGCCCATATTCAATATTCCCAAACCCATAATAAGTTTTAAAAAAATTTCCCAAACCCATGTCCAAAAATTTAATTTATTGTATTTCATGAAAATAGACACTCATTTTGTTTACAATACTGAAATTTATTATTATTGGGAGAAAAATATTTTTTAAGTTTTGCAACTGGTTTAAATAAGCTTAATTTAAATTAAAAATATTTATGCCCAAGCACATTTAAAAAAATTTCAAAAACCCAGGCCCACTAGAAAATATGTTATTAGACCCATACCCGGCCCATGAAGGTCTCTAAACTTACTCTATGAATTTCAGTTGTAGTGAATTTTTAAGCTACTCTTAATTTGTTATAATTCTTGATATAGTTCATTTTCATTCATTAAAAAATCAAGGACAGAATTGTCTAAAATTCATAGGGCAAATAGAGGCAACTCTAATACGGAAATACGACGACAAAATCGTTATAAATAATTTAAGTTTTGAAAATCTTTTGCCTTGAATTCGCTAAATCGCTATGGACATGTATCCTCAGGAAAAGAACTAATAAGATATATAAAAGTTTAAAAAACTTTGGCAAAAAAAGTGAATAGAAATGGAAAATCTAATTTTTAAAAAAGGGAATTGAATATATAGGTAAAGAACAAATTGAAATAAATTCGAACTTAAAGATCTGATACCATTATTAAAAACATAATGACTAGACTTAGCAGGGTTGCCAAAATATTCTTCCCTCAAATGCTTGAATTTTTCTCCCCACTCCCAATTTGCAAGTATTCCGCCCTTTTTTACCCGGCCTCCGTCTGGGTTTATCAACAGCATATTCCTTTATGATACTGTTTATTATATTTAATAATAAAAATTTTAGTATTAGAAACCATTTTAAAAAACGCTAACTGGTTTACAATTTTTTAAAACTTTTTTATTCATTTGGAAGAATTCGGTTTTCGCAGGAAAGCCTACAAAACCTTGTTACCCAGATAAGTATAATAAAGTGGGGGGGGGGGGGGCTAAAAATCTCAAAGTTGAATTTATGTAAATTAAATTTAATATATATAAAATATAAAAATAATAACTTATCTTTTAAAATGGAATATTTATAAATTATATGAAATAAAATGACGATAATATGATTTGCAAAACCAATTCTTTCTTTTAACTTTGTTAAAATTTTGAATCGACGATACTAATAAAAAATGGACATCCTCAATTTAAAAGGATACGTTACGTTTTTTATTAAAAAAAAGCACGGCAAAATGTAAACGCTTAATTTGTGCGCACTATAGAAGATTTTTTACCGTGCTATGGAAATATGCTGAAAATTATTTGCACGAATAATTGTAATTTAAGTTCAGCCTTCAATAAAGATTAATATAATGGTAATAGGAAGATTAGTCTCACCCCCACCCCTACCAGAAAATCGGCCTTAAAAAAATATTCTAAACTATTAATAATGGATTATAAATCATTTTCGAGGCACACTTTGCATTAAAAAAAGAAAAGATATAAATATTTTTAGGTGAAAATACTCTAATTTGAGCGAATTCAAATAAAATCTTAACACAAAGTTTGAGAATGACTAAGACCAACCTATTTTTTAATGAGATTCATATCCATTCTAATAAAAACGGCAGGTCATCTTAAAAGCTAAATATAAGAAGGACAATAGCAGACACCTTGACAAGACCTGTCCAAATATTATACAAGACGAATATGCCATGCTGCATAAACTATCGAGAGAGAAATCAGTTTTAAAAAACTCTGAGAAATTTTAAAATTTATGATTATTTTTTAAAATTTTTTGATTGCGATAATTTACCCTTTGAAATGATTTTACAAACTAAAATTATTCAAATAACTAAATTTTTTAAATGGGCTTGGTCTGGTCATAAAATATGCAAATTTTAAAAAAGACCTGGGCTAAACTTAAAATCAAACAGCCAGCGCTGAGCTAAAAAAAAATCCCGGCTAAGCATAAAAAAATTTTCTTTTTTTGGGTTTAAATTTTGACTTCTGCAGGTCATATTATAGTATACCATATTTATAGTGATCATCGGTTAAAGATCTCCGGACTAATAATCACCAAAAAGGAAAAAAAATAAGGGTAAAACCCCTTTCAATCATCTTTTAAGTGTAACAAACGTGTATTTCAGAGGTTACAGATCTGGACTGAAGGACTATTTTGATCCCGGTTCGATTCCAGTGGATCCCATTTTTCCTGAAATTAATCTCCAGGACGAGTCATAAAGTTAAAAGCTTAGGGAGATATGTGTCGGATAAGATAGGATAGGGCGCTGGTGGAACCGATTTTTACAAAATCGGCTATAATTCCTGTGTTTTTTTAGGTATTATAAAGAGCAATATATGAATCGATACCTATAACTATACTCTATAAAGGTGCCTTTTAAGAATATAATCATATTTTTGAAATCTTATTTTTCATAGAAGTTAAAATTTTGCTCAACATGCCCCATTAGTGGGGTTAAGCATTCCACTACAAGGGGCTTTCTAAACCATTAGTTTTAGGCTATAATGAATTGAAATGCATTTTTATTTATTATCAATGATATATATAGAATAATTTTATATTTCAAAATATCATAATACTTTTAAATTAAAGCAAATATAAAAATTGAAACTTAAATTTGGTTATTTTAATAAATATTTTGAACATATAAAAATAAGAATCTTAAAGGAGATTATGATTTCTTAGTATAAATCCTAAATACCAACTATACACAGCCATAAATTTTTAAATATTTTTTCCATACTAACTGCCATAATTGACGTGTATGGTATAGCAAGCCCTGCTATCTCTAAATTGACTAAAGTATTGAAATAATAACTAGACAAAATAAATACTCAAAAACTTTCTCAAATTATAAAAGGGTTAAAATTTGCTTTTATATAACTTAATAAAAATTAAAATTCTGTCAGTAAAAATCTTTTGACATCAAAATTTTATTTGTAAATTAAAATTTTTAATAATTAATTTTTTAAAAAGATTTTCCTATAGATGTATACTAATATTAATTATATTAGGAAAAATTTAATATTCTAGTCTATTTAAATTAAAAACTAAATTAAGAGGTTAGCCAAGCACCGGGGTTTACTTAACCCCAGTTTCCCCTAATATATATTTAAAAAATTTTTTAGTTAATGGCTATTCGATTTTTTTTTGTCTTTTTTCAATTTTGGTGAATTTTTATCCAGGATAATGTGCGAGGGTGTATCAGGCGATTTATGTAGGTTTAATTATTCTTATTCTTCTTAACTTACTAATGAAAAATAAATATTTTAAGTAATATTCAGAAATAATTATATTGGATAGGGTGTAATTTTCCGAAGGCTAGTCTTCCGTGGTCAATTTTCATATCAAATCCAATCCATTTTGTTTTTTTCTTTACACAGTAGTCCTTATCAGTATCATGAATATCTTCCCGGATGTTGTATATGAGTGGTTGTTAAGAATATAAAATTGCATTTTTTGAAAAGAAATCTATTTTTCGTTTCCTGAGCATTCATGTTATTTTTTTTTTGATTAATTTGTTTTCTTCTAGCAATATCTGTCTATTTTCAGTTCAGGATTTAATATTTTGAATGTTTATCAATAAATGTTATTGTTAGCTACTATTTACAAATTCAAAAATAAATTTGACGCATTTGAATTTATTTTAAAATTAAATTGTGTGATGTTTTATTTGCTCAAAAAACGTGAGAAAAGAGTGAGGTATGTGAGAAAACATGAGCAAGTTAAAAATAAGACCCAAAATCGTGAGAAACTCGGTAATTGTGTCATCTGGCAACCCTGAGACTAAGCTTAATTTAATATTTCAAAATAAAAACTACTATATACTACTTATTGTTTCTAAATTTAAAAAAAAAATTGTTTTATGGAAAACCTTATATTATTTCTAGATGTACGTGTGAAGAATTGTTGGAGAAGGAGGAGAAGAGTGTGAAGAAAAGGAAAGTTGACATAAAAAAATAAAATATATTTATTGATTTTTATGTTATTTAGAAGACTATTTGTTGGGGGGAGGGTCAAACAGACTTATAACAGTTACATGAATTCGAGGAGTTAATTTTTTTTAAAATCACTGTATAATTTGAATTCAAATCTTACGCAACGACCTGATCTTACAGGCAAAAATTTACATTTTTGACTCTTTATGATTTTGTTAGACCCCCCCCCCGTGTTCCGCTGCTCTTTTACGATTTTCTTTTAAAAAATAGACTATTTAACATCTGGAACTAATCATGCGTCGTCTAATTCTTTTAAGAACTTGCTTTTATTTTAGGTATCTTTACTAGATTTAACCCTCCGTAAGTAATATTTATAATAAGTTCTTGCTCATTTTTAAATTTTGCTAAATATTGAATTGTAAGCTAAGGTGTTACTAAAATAAAAACATAGTTATCTAATTATAATCAAGCGCTTTTTAATATCAATTTCATTATCCTTTATATTTTGAAAGGTGAAAAACCGTTTATTTGTCAGTGGTCGAATTGCTTTAAATGTTTTGCAAGGAATGATGAGCTGATAAGGCATGTGAGATGTCATACTGGTGACAAAAAATTCGATTGTCCAATATGTGATAAGAAGTTCAGCAGAAGAGATCATTTACAAAAACATGCAAAAATACATCCCTCATTTAGACAAGAGATGATCCCGACGAAGAGAAAATATTCTCATAGAGAATCCTATGATGATTAAATATTTTATCTATTTTTTTTGCCGCATGAAAATTTCGGAATTCATTTTTGTTACTCTATATTTCATTCATATTTTATCTAAAAATGTTTATATCAAAAATCATGATATCCCATCCCTTTAGTTATTTCTATTTTTTTAAATTCAATTTATTATATCCAAATTTGTATTTTATTTAACAAAGAAATTTAATAAATATTTTTTAGAAATTTTTATTTACGTTTTTTATTATAAGAGTTAGCATTTAACCTTTTTAAATTTTATTCGTCACTTAAATTTGTATTTTTTTACATTATTATAATATAATCATGAATTTTTATCAATTATTTCTATGCAAAAATGCGCTCAATCATTTAAAAATCAAATGAGATTTAATATTATCTTTTATTTGCGATAATCAAATTTTATATATACCATTTAACTTAACCTATTCAAAACTACCTTTTTTTAAAGTTAATTTACATCTTTTTTAAATTGATAACAAAATACTTTAAATGACTTAATATGGAGTGAGAATTATGAGCAAATGTTATGTTTTAGAAAAATAATGTTAACATTTTGAAAAGAAACTTGCCCGTTTACAAATGTTTTATAGTAATATTTAATATATTATATAATGTTATTTAAAAAATAAAATATAATCAAGAATATTACCTATATACGTATGTAATATAATTAACCTATATTATGTCATTTTAAAATATAGATTCTACTAGTATAATATTTTATTAAATACTATTTTGAATAAAAAGCTTGAATTTATTATTTCTTAGATTTTGACAAAGTAATTTTTTGTAAAAAACCAAGGCTGTGTCCTAGATTGGCTTAATTGCATTTTAGTATGGGCTAGAGGTCTGCAAAGTGATTTTTTCACAACCCGAGCCCGAATTATAAAAAAAATTTGTCTGAGCCCGAGCTAGAATTAAAAAAAATTTTAACCCGACCCGAACTCGACTAAATTTTTTTAAATTTGATTGTGAATATTATAATATCCAAAAAACAATTAAAAATGGTGTTTTACCTTAAATAATAGTTTATTTGACCTCCATAATATAATTAATAATTATATTAAGCTGCATTTTATTTAAATTGGTAACATATATTTTATTCAGTTTAAATATGAAAAAAGTTGAAATACAATCGAATTTAAAAATTATTGCGATTATATAAAAATAATTTGCATGATATAATGAACATATAAAGTATATCAATATCATTTATCAATAGTATCACATAGTAAATAATTGTGATTTATAAATAATGAGGGTCAAGTTTGTCAGGCTTTAAACAAGTCCTCCTATCTTCAAAAGACTTGCCATCCACTGAAAACGCTCTTTTACTGCTAGCTGAGAAAGCAGGGATAGCTAGGAATTTAAGAACCAAAACACTTAAATTGGGACAGTCGTTTTGATAAATCTTCCACCAATTTAAGATTTGGTAAACGATCTTAAATATTGAAAATTTGACCTAAATAAAATAGCACAATCACAAAAATATAATAACAAAATAGTTTGGTTAGATGTTATAAAATATTAATTGAAAATGACATTTTATTCTGATTGACATTTTAGTGATGAAATGTGTTAGTTAAAAAAATTATTATTTATTCAGGATATTTATAATTATTTATCGGGTAGGGTCGGGCCCATTTTACAACCCGAGCCCGAAAGTAATTTTTATGTCCTAACCTGGCCCTCACCCGAGCTCGGATCGGGCTACGGACTGCCCTTGCAGTCTTCTAATATAGGCTAAAAGATTTTTGAACCAGGACACTTTTGGTTTGTTTTATTAAGTATTTGGTAACATTGTTATTTTTCGTATTTTATTCCCGTTTTATAGCTAATGTTTTTTTTTGTCGTTTCTTTATAAAAAAAAATTCCTTTTGCTTTTTTGACTATTTAGCCTATACCAAATAGTCGTATACTATTAAACTGACCTAGGACACGGTCTAACATCTGAAACTATTTTCTAGATTCATTCGATAAGTTATCTACGATACGAAATGTAACTTCATTTAAAAACACCAATAATTCAAGAGCCCAACATATTTTTAGGTCCAGCTCCAATCCAAGAAAATATTTAAAATTTTAGTTGGACAGGTTCATGCTGGATTCTTCTAATACATTCATACAGAAATGAAAGAGAGTAACAAGTGATATATTCAAATTATAATTGCTGAGAAATGTACAGAAGTTTTATTTTTGTGGGATAAAATGGTCGTCGAACATAATTAAATGAACGATTTATAACTTAAATATCTAAATTTAATTCCTTTGCAAACTTATTTATATTTCTCAAACAAAGGAATACTGAAACTGAAAGTATCAAATCAGAGATTTAAAAAAATTTATTTGTTACATTTTATCATGTCTCATATTTATGTATCATTTGTATTTTTCTTTAACATAATAATTTTTTATTTCTCCTCGCTTGCCCTCATGTACTATATGCATAAACAAACAAATACAAGTAAACCCTTTATTTTTTTTCATTAATTCTATCATTTATCATTGAATAATTTTATTTTCTATTTCCTATAAAAAATTTAATATCATAATTTAATTTTTATTCACCTTTTTTAAACTCTCCTTCAGTCGTAATAATAATTTTTTTTTTTGATATTTTATCATAATTTTTGATTTGATGAAAAAAATGTTAAATCCATAAGCAACTTGTATTGTATATCCTTCAATTGTATTAGGAATGTATATGTTAGCGTCAATGTGTTATTTTAGTAACTTTAAATCATTTTTTGAGCGCGTTTTTTTAAATTAAAAAATGGAGTTTTACCTGAAATATATTCTATCATGTTTGGCATACCTATCTTATGAATTGTAGACAATTTTGCTGTTAACCCTTGAGTCATTTATAATTTATATAAAAAATATATGGAAACTAATATAAATTATATTAAGTTTAAATGTTCATGAAAAAAATTGTCTGAATTTCTAACATGATGAAATACATTTCCGGTAAAATCAAGTTTTAATTTTTACAAAACGCGCTCATAAAATGATTTAAAGTTGAAAAAATAACACATTGCCGGAAAAAACACATTGACTTTAACATATATACTTATCTTTTATTTATGTAATAAATTATGAAACTATTATATTGAATAAAAAGTTTAACAACTGTTGGGTAAAAATTTATTTTTCGGGTAAATTTTTATCTCTATGGATGGTTGGTAGTTAGGCGAGCGGGTGATTTTTTTTAAAAAATGGGCGGCTATTGTGGGTTAAAAATCCGCTCATTATGGACATCTAAAGGTAATGATAAGAGTACCACCATGTTATATTTAATGAATATTATTTTAGGAAATTTGTTAAAAAATATTCAATTTTTATCTTATATTTGAATTTTTTTTGAAAAATAACCCTTTTCTAAATGGTTCACTAATTCTTCATCAAATAAAAAAAAATCGGAATCGATATTTCGTCCTGAAGCTTCTTCAATTTTAAGGTTTTCTACCCCTTTAAATATGTTATAAGCTTATTTTAATTTCGTCTTGTGGAAACCTTATTCAAGGTCATTCGAGTTTAATATTGGATGCATATATTTAAATATATAAAGAAGTAGATAACATTCAGAAGAAAATATACTTTTTTAAAATTGAATGAACGCTTTGATCGAAAATAATCAAAATTCATCAAGATAAAAAAAACTATACTTTATTTAATTTCAGTTTACTTTTAAATGCCTAAGAAACAAAATTAGATACCCTAAAAATAATCTAATTTTGGAGGACCGAGACTCCTGCCCTAACCGCTTACATGATTCCCATATAATAGAATTCTATAAGTATTTTTTATAGTTTTCTTGAGAATTTTAGTAGTAGGGTGTATAACAAATTGTTTTATACATGATAGCACGTGGAGATGTTATCGCGTGGAGTTTTAATTAGATTTATTTCAGAGGTCGATATTGGCCATCGAATTTATTAATTCCTTGATTTTATAGTCAATTTTACAGTACGATATGGCGCCTCTTGTTGAAATGCACTAGTGCCATCAAGAAAAAATCCATGGATGAATAAGAGAACCGAATATGTTGATCTAATATCTATCTACAAAGGCCAGACTTCCAAAACTGTTAGAACTCATAAATTCCCATATTATTGTGCTCTCTACATATTTAACAATTCTCTTTAAGCAAGTAGTATGAAAGTCTTCATTTTTATTTCTGATTACAATCCTTAACATTACACATTTCATTTCGTAGAATTCATCTGAAAGGGGAACGGTATTTGTTTAAACCCACATCTATTGTATTTAAGAGCCCATTATAATCTTGTATTTTTTATGAACATCGTTAATAGTGTTTTTTATATAGCCTAGTTTAATAATAAGTTAGATAGACTTCCAGTTAGACTCATAAATTAAATTCTAGCTTCTAGTATGTCGTTTTTCAAGTAAGATTGTTTTAGACATGATCCTCTCTAGAATATATATAGCTATGGTTATAATTGTAAATCTATAAATTATTCCTAAATTTATGTTAAATAAAAAATTTATTTTCACGCGTCATTTACAAATATTTTTTACAGGATTAATTATTAAAACAATTTATTTAAAATTTATTAAAAATATTTCCGCTGATTATAATCTTTGCACACCTGGTACATGGTTGATGGAATACTCTGCGGCCCATCAAAAGAGATCACAAAGGTACTAGCCATCATTAAAACACACTCTCAAACAATTGGACGTTCACTTAAGGATCTGAAAACAGAGATTTGCCCAATACCAATATAGTGTTCCATCCCATTCATTCACTCTTAACTTCCACGCAATCAAACTTGTCCCTTGCTCATCTCGGTTCCCCAGTTGGTATGTTAGACCTAAATCGCTACTTCACTAATGCTTCATTTTAAAAACATAGCATCTCCCTCCTTGACAAGCTTTTTTCTCTTTTCAAAAATTTCATAAAATTATCTCTTTAATTAATCAACCACAATTTTCAAATTTCCTAATTTATTAAAATCATTTGAAACTTCCGTCAAATCTCTAACTGAAGTGATCTATAATCTCCGCTTTATTCATAACTC